ACATAATAGGGACTATATTTATTTGTTTTAAGGACTAAAATTGGGCACGAAAACATAATAGGGACTACATTTTTTGTTTTAAGGACTAAAATTGGGCACCAAAACATAAATAGGGACTACATTTTTTGTTTTAAGGACTAAAATTGGGCACCAAAACATAATAGGGACTACATTTTTTTGTTTTAAGGACTAAAATTGGGCAGCAAAAAATAATGGGGACTCAGTCTGGATACCCCCTAAACATGTAGGACCAAAAGTGGACTTTGTCCATATATTATTATATATTTATTATGATACTTTTTAATTGTGCGACTTACTTGTGTTATATTATACTAATCTTTTAACTTACACTATATAACTACATTAAATATAAATATATCAATTGAGAAATAATTTTATTTTTCTAATGAATTCTAATAAATATTATTATTTTTTATTATTATAAAGATAAATATAATTTATTTATTTTATATATACAATATGGATGTCAAATCGAAGATCATCAAAAGATAATTAATTTGATATATTATATATGTAAAACCGATAAGAAATACAAAAGTTATCTACTTTTAAAATACATTTATAATTCAATAGCTTATTGAAGGAAACACATCAAAATTTAGGATATATTAGTCACTTAGTGTCTCACTATGTAAAATTACAAATAATTAAGGGGGTGATTGTTTATGTTTTGAATAGTAAAAAAATCTAGAATTTTTTAATTATGGTTAAGTTTAAGAAAAAGTGGTATGGTTAGTTGTTAGTGGATATATTAAAATAGTATTTAAAATAAAATAGTTAAAGTTGATTTGATGTAAAAGTAAGAGAAAATGATTGGAAGTGATAGTTAGTTAAAATTAGTTAAAATTGTGTGAGTAGATGAATAGTGAATTAACGTTGATGTGATATGTAATAATGATTTGTTGATGTTATTTAATTATATAATAATATTGGAGATAGTGTGGTTGAGTTAGAGTTGAGTTAAATTTGAATTTGAGTAAAAAAAATTACTGTACAAATGGTAAACAATCACCCCCTAAAGGGTTGTATTAGTAAAAGTGATATTAAAATACCTAAGTTAGCTAAATAATATTTATGGAATACCCGAACCTAGATTATTAATTATTAATATATTAATATTATTTGTCCAAACCTAATTACGAAGCATGATTCTTCGCCAAATAGGATTCCGAGGCACCAGAAGCAGCCACGTAGGCTCAGCGCATTCTGGAATTATATATAGGGAGGATTTTATAATTTTTGTACACACCAACTATATTCATTACATTCATCTCATATTCATTCACCATTTAAAAAATATATCAAACTTTAAAATAGTACTCTACATTTCACTCTTACTTCAAAGTTATGCAAAAAACTTGTTTTAATGTGTCGCTACATTTTCGCACTATGAAGATATAAACGCGCTACTATTCATAGAGCTATTTTTTTAATTTTTTTATTTTTAAATTGATGTTTTATATATATTATTTTAACAAAATATACATTAATAAACTATTTATTTTAGTAAAAATTTTGAATTTATATTTATATTTAAATTTATTTTGTACAGTATTTTATGTAGAGTAAAATATAACGCGAATGACCGGAGATGAGAGTTATATTTTGGCTCTCTCTACTCAGTAATGCTCTCCTACCCACGATGAACACGTGTTAATATGTCCACCGCTTATGTGGCATGCATACATTGATGATGTTAAAAAAATATATCACCACTGTGTGCATGCCACATAAGCGGTGGGCATATTAACACGTGTCCACTGTGGGTAGGGGAGCATTACTGCTCTCTACTTACTCTAGAGTAGAGTAAACGCTAGGGCAGAATAATGGAGATGGTCTTACTTAAAAAATAATAAATAAATAAAAATAAAAATAAAATAAAATTAAAAATAAAAAAGCTTCTTTCAGTTACTTTTTCCTTTGAGATAATTTCTAACAAAATAAATTTTAGTCAATCGCACTAGAGCTCGTCACTTTGGTCCTTAGGGTGGTCTCGCTCTTTATGTCTCATGTGTTTTTGAGTCGAGTGCCTCAACTCGTGCTAGTTAGATCTCGACTCATTCAATAAATGATTTGGGATCATTGTTCGTGATCGACATTGATATGAAAAACATGATAAACTTACGATTAGCACAAGTGATTAACATATCATATCATATCATATCTTATAAATGAATATGGCCATGCACAACAAACTCAAACAAAGCACGTCTTCAAGTTAGACTGGATCAATGTAAAATGTCAGGATACATAAGCTCCATTTTACAGTTAGCCCCTGTAGATGATCAGACATGTTAGGGATAATGTCATATGTTTCACGAAAGAAAGTCGAAAATGTTAATCGTATAACCCGCAGAGGAATAGACATAAAATGAACCTATCCTAAATGTATTCTATTTTATTAGGTTGTTAGTGACTGTCTTATTCCGTCCCATAACTATAGGTCGAGTTCTTTTGCAGCGTAGGGATGATCAAGGACTATGGAGGAACAAAGAATTTTATAAACCTTTAATAATCATATACTTCTCAAGGCAAATATAGTAGTTGGATTTTCCGAAGACTTCATTAAAGTGTTCTTTTGGCGGGAGGGACTAATAAAAATTCATTTGTGGAAGTAAGAATATATTAGTGATGCAGAAAATGAAATCATAATTCATACCCGTAGTTATAGTAAAAGTGTGCTATATTATGGAATAACTGAAACGGTGAACCAAACCGAAACATAGATCGAAGATTGATTATATCATAAAGCATAACGCGTGCCATTCATCCAGTCAGGACTCGAACAAAAAATAAGGATTTTGCCTGCATGGGCTACAAAGATACAAAGAACAAGGAGATACCGAATAGTAGTTCTGCTAAATCGACACAGGATTATTAGTACTTTGGACATCTCTCATCGAAAAACCAGACGGTGGTTCAAGAATCAGTTGTTTCTGTTGCTTGCCCTCCTGAAAACAGTAGACAGGGGCTTGCCAATTGAGGTCGTCCAGCACTTTCCCCACCTCGAATGTCATCACGTGAGCCACCATCCCTGTAAATAAAATCCACATCATCTGCACCGAATCAAAAAGCAACATACCCATAGGGAAAAAAAAATATATATCCACATCATTAGCCGTCAAATTTTACAACGGCCGCAAATGAGCAAAAGCATTTGCACATCGACAAGAAGATACACTCTCAATTAAACTACTTGAATGCTTGATTTGACATCATATGTAAAAGCTTTTTCGAATTCGACTCCAGATCAACAAATAAAGCTTTATCAGCATCTGTTATCAGAAATAACCAAACAAGATTCATTGCTCGGCAGAAGCTCGACTCAGTAGCTGAAATTTTTTACTACTAATTACATGCAAAAACATTAAGCTGCTCGAATTCGGTCCACATTCCCCTAGTGACCTAGTCCATGATACAACACTTGGGCATATAAACAAGTCGACAAGCAGCAAATGCAAATGCTCTCAATTAACAAACCAACCCACAAAAAATAAGCTCCTTCAAACTCAACACAGCCAACAACCAAACCGAAGCAAACAAAACCCAAACGCAATTCACATAACCCAAACAGAACCAGAATTTGATGCGAAAATTACCAGAGAAGAAAGCCCAGAAAACAGGTCTCTTGGTGGCAACATCCTCATAGTACGTAATGAAATCGACCTTCTCCCACACATCGCACAAGAACTCATCTTTACGCACCCGACCCAAGTAATTCGCCCCCTCGAGCCAATTGGGCCTCAAAATCCCCACCGGAAAATGCCTGACCGTGCACTCCCTGTTATCGTCCAGCGTGTAGTAATAGGAGGTGCCGTTGTCCCATTCCAAATCGTAGAGCTTTTCGCCGAGCTGCTTTTGGATTATGTTGAAGTTTCGGCCGTTGGGGTAGTCGTACCAGAGGTCCGTCACTTGCAGGGCACCCTTGGTGCTGTTTATGATGAGGATCGAGTGGAATTGGGGCGGCCATGGGGCCGGCACCGGGTCCGGCGAGCCGAGGAGGGGAAGGAAGAGGTGGGCTGCGGAGAGGAAAAGTGCGAGGAAAAGGGAAAGACTGAAATTGGGGGAAATTATTATATTTTCCGCCATTGTTTGTTCCTTGTGGGTGGATGAGGTTTCACATGCCGCGAGTATTTAATAATATTTATTATTATTATTATTATTATTATTATTATTATTATTATTATTATTATTATTATTATTATTATTATTATTATTATTATTTTGAGTAACATTTTAAAATCTTTGAAACAGAGACTTTTTAAAAAATTTATATTTGTATTTAAAAAAAATTAAAATTTTATTTCTAGAGTGAGATTTGACGTGGAATTTGTAGATACTTTTTGTTTTTGAAATCTAATAACCCTTACAAAAATCCAAATAAATTCAAGAGATAAATAAATTATATATATCTCATAAATCTTGGAGACTTTTAAAAGTTTTAATTTTTAAAAAGTCCAAAACAAATACATTACGTTTTTAAAATCTCAAAAAAATGTTAAAATTTTTGAATAATACACTAATAATAATAATAATAATAATAATAATAATGATAATAATAATAATAATAATAATAATAATAATAATAATAATAATAATAGCCTAACCATTAACCATAAAATTCTTGCAACTTTCATTAGAAAAATCAACTTAAATAAATAGACGATATTTAGTAGTATAAGTATAAATTTATGTTCACATAAACATCAAAACAACAATCTTTAACTTACTACATATGTACCGCATAGTTAAGCCCCATTTCAGTTTAGCACAACAGATGGAGTTTAATACCAGTTTCACATGAATGATCTACCGGCTTCTCATCCTGATACTGAACAATGTCACGCACATTATTTTTCTCACACGTATACAATTTGTCAAGCGATAGGAGTTTAACACGATTACTGGTTCCCAGAAATGGGGCTGTCTCGACCCTTCTTGAAATCATCCCAACCTCTAACCCACGACTGACCAGGCGTGGCTCGAGTCTCGGGTGCTGCATAATTGTCAAGATTGTTAGCCACCTTCTCACGTACGGCCAAGAATACCTGACAAAGATCTTTATAGAGTTAGAAATCAATAACAGAATAGCATATCTTTTCCACACATTTTCGAAAAATAACAAACAATAATAGATACTTACAGGATTCGTGCTCACTGGCTCAGGGGGTTGCTCTTGACCGGTCAACCATTTCCATAGATCCGGATTTTCCTGTACTCAGTAGGAATGGATATTTTCTAAACATGAAAATGGGAAGCAGAAAATAGCAAAAATCTTAAGAAGGCTAACAAGGGCTCACAGACCAAGCATTCATCTAAGCACCCGGGAGATTTTTAATGCAGGGTTAAACTCAACTAACTACTAAGCAAAAGCCACTGGAGCACACTTAGGTCCTCGGCTGTAAAATTGATATAAGCAGCAGTCATAAATACGAGGGTATAGGACAAGACGAGATATCAAGATTTCAGTGCAGTACTGCAGTGAAATCTATTGCTTGATTTAGTTAAAAACTGAGATTTCAAGAGCATTCATATGGCAGCAAAGGAAGCTATGAGGGAACTTATCAAGTTTATCACAATTCATATAGTAGCTTTGAATGATCCAATTCTTTCACGTGTTTTGTAATTAAGTCTTCTATTTTCTGAAATGGTCATTTCTCCTCAACCGTAGCCCCAGACCCTTTTGAAAAGTTAAAGAAAACAATGATGTGAGCATTAATAGTCGCTGTACGCAGTTTAGATCAACACAATAAAGGCATGCAAATTTTTCCAATTCATGGAATAGCTTCAATTGGTCATTCAAAGTTCAAACACGGATAGAACGAGCACAATGCACGTCATAACTCATAGGACAATGACCTCAATCCGTATAGCTCTAATCTAATATTTAACTCTTAGCACAAAAAAGGAAAATCCACAAAAGTAAAAACTGTTGGTCCCATAACATAAGGCTAGAATACCAACAAACAACTCAATCTTCCCAGGAATCACTTTAAAATGAACTCCCATTCAATCAGACACCACCAGACCCAAATCAATACAAGACTCGATTTTTTTTTCAAGTATTTGAATGATCATCCTAGGTACACAAACCATTCATCTGAGCTTGACTTGAAGCCACTTAAGACGGCTTGATCACCTGCCCTAACTATATCAGCATGAAAGATCCACTCATACATATTAATAAACATTATGAGTTCAAATCTCCATTTCATAGTAGACTTCCTCCAGTAATAGAGTGTTCTTTTCATATTTTGTACCAAAAGTGCCTATGAGTGCAAAAACCTCCTTATCCAACAACCGAGTCTTCTTAACTGACTTCATCACCTTCCACGAGAAAGAAATTTCCAGTTCTATAGAGAAAGTAGGCTAATTTATTCCATGGTAGCTGCTCTTTCCGGACAACGCATACCTAGAACATGGGAGAATAAATAAACAAGAGTGCATACCAGGTCAAGAACATGAACAAGAGATTTGATCCCACTTTCATCCATGGACCGAATGTTATCCTCCACCCATTTCCCCAGAATCAGATCAAGCTCAAGGTACCCTCTCTGTTTACTCCTATACAGAAGCCTAGAAAACCCAAACAATACAAAAACTCAGAACCCACAATCACAAAAAACTTCAAGCAATTCCATAACAAACAAAAAAAAACAATTTTAAACGATAAAAGCCCGAATACAAGCAAGAAACAACCACAATCAACAAGCCCACCTGTTGAACAACCGCCTTTTGCTTTCTTCATCGGAGAGATCGATATCTAGGGATTGGCCGATTGAACTTGACGAGGTGAAATTTGGGAAGGAACCCACTACGGGCCTGAAAAAGCCCGAAAAAGGGGTCGGACTATTTACAAAATCAAATACATACACCTGATAATGAAGTTACCTAAAAATCCCGATAAAACACCAGAAAAAAATGAAATTAGTCGGCGATACCTGTGAAGAGGTTGGGAGCTGACGAGCGATGTCCGATGGGAGCTGAGAATACGAGGGACCGTCGAGAAAAGAGCCCGTCGCAGACCTGCCATGTCTCTGTGTGTGTGTGTGTGAAATTAGACGGAGGGGGAAGGCGTGAGGCCCGCCTGTGTATTGATAGGTTAGAGTAGAGGCGCTTTGTTTTTTTGCAATGCGTGGCAATTTAAGTGCCACTAGATACAACAACAACAATTATTATTATTATTATTATTATTATTATTATTGTTGTTGTTGTTATTATTATTTATTTTATTATGATTATTAACAACAATTATTATTATTATTATTATTATTATTATTATTATTATTATTATTATTGTTTAAATCTCAGAGAGTACCTGTTTTTCCCCAGATAGCTGATTGGATACAAAAAATTATTAGAAAAATTAACGACAATTAAATAACTACTTGAATTTAATGAACAGTTTAATGAATCTATAATTTTGCTCAATTGAAAAAAAAAAATAATAACTACTTGAATTTAGCAAGCACGAAATTTATGTTGGTGCTATAGTTTATGTATTTTTATTTATTTATTTTTTTTTTTTGCAAGTGCTGTAGTTCATGTTATTGCTATGTTTGAGTATAGAAAGATTTTACGGTTCTGTTACGGAACAATTTCGTTGGGGTTTTAACCGTTAGATCAACTATCCACGACAATTACATGATGTTTGACGGTTACAAATTCCGACAGAATAGTTCCGTAACGGGACTGTAGTATTTCCCTTTAGTATATGTCACGTGAACCAAAGAAAATTTGTGAAGGCAAACTACAGGTAAAAAGGATTGGGAATTTGGGACAATTATTCGAGCATTAATTTTTTTTTTTTTTTTTGGTACAATGAAGGAAAGCAACACGCTTAAGCAATTACGAGTCGGGAGAGAGCCATCCTCGTACTATCGTGATCTAGCCATTCACCCAGACATAGGGGAGGGGTTGTCACTCGTCGAAGCCCAACTGGGTTTGATCTCCCCACCCTAGCCAAATGATCAGCTGCCAGATTCGCCTCTCTATGCACGTGCTGGAGCCGAATTGTCCACTCTCTCTTCATTAAGGCTTGAATAGCCTTGATTAGCACCTCATGCGATCCAAAGCTATTCGCGGGCCCTGAAACCGCCTTCCCCACACACTGACTATCCACCTCGGCGATAACTTTTTTATATCCCAACTCCCATGCCAGTTGGAGACCCTCGTGCAGGCCCCAAAGCTCCGACCCCATCACTAAGCCAATTCCTATATTGAAAAGAAATCCTCCGATCCAACGACTACTGTCATCCCGAAGTAGCCCACCAGCGCTACTCAGGCCCGTGAGCCCATCAAAAGAACCGTCCGTGTTTACCTTAACCCAGCCATGGTCTGGTGGAGTCCAATAAATTTGACGAGGAATGTACGACTCGGCACCAGCCTTAGCATAAGCCGCTGCCGCACGCGTGTAGCTGGCCATTATGTTCACAACCTCCGCTCTCTTGGCCTCGGAACTAAGGGAGACATTTTGAAAATGCGCTCATTACGCCAAGTCCACAATCTCCAAACCGCAATCGCGAAGGTGCTAGACCATCTGTCAAAATTCCCGACCTGTCCCTTAAGAAGATTAGTACGCAGCCAGGCCTGAAGTGGCTGCCGGAAAAAATTCACGCTATTGGGATTCGAGCATTATTTTGTCAAATGACTTTGTTGCATACATTTTCAATAAATATACATATGTCTAAATTGAAATATCAGAATTTAAAATATAACACACACACACACACACCCAAAAAAGCTGCAGCATTTGCATTTGAATCACACTGCACTCATTCAACAAAATGCACACAACTAAACTACTCACTTCCATCCAGAAAATAATAGCAATCACACCCTTTGTTTCTTTCAGAAGTGTATTTCCCGCCTCTCGGAGAAGAATTTGCCGGTCACAAACTG